TTGCAGCATTTTATTATCATTATTTCTTCAGTCTAATCAGATTATCGTGCTATAAATGTTCTAAAAAGAAATACAAAACAGGCAAACGGCAACAACATGAGCAGATTGGTCAGCCACACAACCTGATAAGGTAGTTTTTATACCAAGAGCTCGACTTCAACAGAGGGCATGGCACAACGTCTCGCCTAATTGGTAATAGACAAAACAAACTTTCCAAATACAACTCTCAATAGTTCACACATAATCGATGCTGAAGAGCAGAAAACATTCATAAAAGCTGAAATATATTATTCAGTACTCATCTGTATTGATGCGTGTTACCAAGGGGGAGCTCACTGTTCCTTCTTCTCCAATTTAGATTTGGCTGCAGATTGATCTCTATACGGGCTAGCACTGTATGCAGACATCTGAACCATCGCAAAGAAAACCATCTCCACGCAAACCAGAGTGTTCTGTATGGCTTCATTTATGTGCTCCACATCGAACCAGGCATGTTCTGCTTTGATTATGCCCACTGCAGCAAGCATCTCAAGAACGATTCCCTGGAAAAGAAAACGATGATTTAAGTTGTTTTAATTGAAAGCATGAAATATTAGTGTCAGTAATAGTTAGCCTTAATGCATACATGAACAAATAAGAATCCCGTAATAGTTAGCCTTAATGCATACATGAACAAATAAGAATCATCCCCGAGGGATTATTGTTTATTTAGACTTGCAGAACATTTCAGAAGGTAGCTGCAAACTTATAAGAGTGAAGGCACAATATTGTCATTCATTAATTTAATTACTCAAACTCTACGTCCATATTTAATACTCGCGTTGCCGATTTGATAACGATATCGAAGAAATCAGTTAAGCTACTACAACCAATCATAACAACAACCAGTAACCTACAACTAACTTACAATATCATCACCACTGTACACCGGCAGTACAGTAATATCATTCCCCCCCACCCAAAAGAGTTTCTAGAGTACCATATTTGGATACAAAAAGGAAGGAGTTTCTAGTGTATAAGGATGAAATGAAATGAACAGTTTCTTTTAAAAGAAAAGGTCTAGTGTTTAAAGTGAAAATGCAACGTGATTTTGGACATGTAGTTCAAGTAGATTGGGAGCCAGCATAAGATTAGACGATGGGATATAAAAAGAGAGTAATGAAATTCCATGCAAGTAAAGCACCAAATCAGTTGGGAAATATATATAGCCAAAAACTACATGCTGGTTCTAAATTTTGGGAAAATGCAATGTTAACTACAAAGGAATACGATGACATATTCAGATGATTAGGCAAAATGAAAAATCTGAGAAACTCGGAACGAGAAAATTACCTGCCAGAAGCAGAAAAAGACAATCCCTTTGATGCACAAGAACTTCGCAAGAGGGCTATGTGGTTTCAACTCCTTATCAAATACATGATAGAAAACCACCAGGGAATACAGAGCCAGCGACACAGAGACATTTAATATGATAGTAAATGTCCAGCTGAGCCAGTTTGGATATACATCAATTAGTTGAAGAGAGATCATCAAGATGGAACATACAGGACGAATCACCACAAATTGATAGGTCCAGATCTTGAGAAGCTTCAATGTGTGATGATTTAATCGAGCACTGTGAGGCTGCAATCGATAAGGAGTCGACATTCAAAGTTACTCTTTGGTCATCCAATAAAACCCAGAGAAATAAAATGACTGGTTTAGTTTTACTAAGCTGTGAACTTGCACCCAATGCTGCAAGTCCGGCAAGAAGTAGTTAAGAAATCAAATTAATCATATTGCAAAAATTCACGAAATTGAGTAACAAATACTCAGCAAATGTACATGTATGTATGAACAATTTCAGAGTGTTAACTTTGACCATGGATGGATATTCATAGAGCTACTGGCATAATAATAGTATAAAGGAAAAAATGAGAGGGCAACCTAAGGGCAAAATCGTTCAACATGATGTTAGTTCCATCGTTTAAAGGTTTAATCAGTCCGTTTAACCAGCTTATCATCATTGCCATAGATTCTCAAATGTGTTCTGACTTGTATTAGTTTTCTAGAGTTCAACTGATCACAATCAAATATTCCTTTGTAAGCCGCGGTAATATAGAGGATACAAGTGTTATACGGAATGATGGGGCTAAATTGACACAATTTGTTTATAGAAACAACACAGTATGGCTTTTTTCAGGCTCTCTCCGTACCGGGACTGATAACATTCGAGATTATGCGGGATTCTACACAATCCTCTCCTTCTCCTATTTCTTTCTGAATGAGACTTTAAAGACGGGGAGCCGTTCCGTGTGGTAGAGGGCGAACAAAGGATAGCGTGCTTGTTCCCCTCTCTCCCATCATCTTTTCAAGTCCCACTCTTTTCCCGGTTAAGAACGGCAGGCCCTCCACTTTGTGTTCCACTTCCAAAGTCAGTCGTCTTTGCCCAAGTGGCACAATTAGTTCAAATTCTTTCTTCAGGGAATGCCTTGGAATATTCCATTCTTGTAGCAACCCCCTTCTCAACCCGTATCTTGTTCGTTTTGGAAACATGTACCTGATGCTATGGAGGGTCCTACCCCGATTTCGGCAGGTTGTTGGAAGATAGGAAAGGCCAAGATCCGAACTTGGAAAGATCCGAATTAGATAAAGAGAGCTCCTTTACCAGAAAAATTCCTTTTCTTGTTCTCGTGTTGAAATAATAAAATAATTAATAATTCTTGATCCCGTTCGTCAAAGATCCCTATTCTTAGTTTCAATTTTTCCCGGTTTGAGAAGATAAAACAAGAAGAATGAAATGTTTCAAGAAGCATAGTAGCACATAAAATCTTAATGCTTCATATTTTTCTAGTAACGACAACAAATCATGATGTATATCTAAATGAACATCAAAGGAATGGCCTGGTATATCCTTTTTAGTACATGAACAGAGGAGAAAAAATCTACCTGAAAGAGGGTCATCGGAAAAGAATGGTGGATTTCTCTACCTTTGATCTCATCTGGTACAATGTTTTTGCTTATGGATATATTCAAGTAGCTGTAGAGTAAACTCAAGAACTTAGAAATCACCTACAAGGAAAAACTAGGAAGTTACTATAAGAAATCAATCTTTCATTCGCAGAAGTTCTATAGGATCAAAATCTTACCAAGGCCTCATAACATTCCTTAATTGATTCCAAGAACAAAAAGAAAGTACTGCTTGCCATAAATTCTAACAGACCGATGTAGGAGATACCAGCATATAAGGGAGCCATAAGAATTATAACAACAATGGCCTTTTGCTCCGCTGGTTTTCTCCAGTTAGACAGATGTTGGGAAAGGAGCCATAATGAAAATACTGAGGTGAGAACAACAGAGGAAGTAACCGCCAGAAAAATCATATATCCATAATCCATTGTGATTGCTGATATGTACCACTGAGGTTACCCAGAAATGAGATCTGCAGACTGAAATAAAGCTTAATAAGCATCCGAAAGCACAATCAACTTGGTAGTTCTCGAGCAAAGAGTTAAGTTCGAAGCTTCATCCTCTAGTAAAAGAGAGAAGAGAATTAATTAAAAGCCAACAAATTAAGGGGGGAAAAGCTCAAATAAAAACCTAAATCATTAATAAAATTCATAGGCTCACAGTTGCTTTCCATTTCCTAACCCATCTCTTACCATCGTTGCAACTTGACAATTAAAAAAATATGAATTATTCCTCGGTGATATCTTTATTTCTTGGACTTGTAAATTGTAGATTGTATACATAAACATCATACAACCTACCACATATTAGATAATGATTAAATGAAAAGTGGGGGTGTTTCTTTTTTTCTTTTGATATCAGATCCCAGCTAAGAACAAATATAAGCTGGTATTCTCTGGACCATCTTCCACATCCTTACTGGGAAAGTACTAAGAAGTGCTAGATTCTCCATATTTCAATCTAATCAGCTAAAAAATGTCTTCTAGGAATCGAAATCTCTACAGTTCCAGCTCGGGTAAATCATTATTCGCAGTTAGAAAAAGCTCTTAGTAACTAGAAACATACTAATTACATAGCTTCGCTACACAGCTATGTAACATTTAGAAATACTACATCAGCAGCAACCTGAGTTCATGCTCGGAAAGTAGAGCTTCTACGTAAGGAAACTTGCGTAATACGATCAATGCTAATCACATTTCTCATTATCTCGCCTACATCTCCGTTCCATTCTTCTATATTTCATCAGAACAAGTACAGAAGAGGAGAAATAAAGCTAGTGTGACACAAATGAGAAGAAGAACGTAATCAAGATGTAATGATCGCACAAAAGTCAGATCCCAAGCGGTTCTTCGAACTTGGAAAGTGAAGTGAAATGGAATTAATTACAAAGGCGATGATGATTTCCTTTTCGATTTCCTTATCATTACCAAAACAACAACAACAGGCTTCGAGATGCTACATGGTACATGATACAACACTAAAAATCTAGCGAAAAAGCGAAAAAGCGAAAGGAATCTTACCAGATAGGAAATTGAAACCTGAAAGTGTCAAGCTTCTGTTGGAGATTCCGATGCTTGATTCTTAGAAATTCTGGGGAAATTCGTCGTGTAATGTAGATTTAATAATGGTGGTGATGAACTTTTTCCACTCGTGAATCCCGTGTAATATTGGACACGACGTCCACTCATCTCTTTGAAAGTTGAAACGACGTCGTACGTTGCACTGCTTCCATAACTAAGTTTCCGCGTGCACAACATGGGATGTCCATCTTTTTTTTTTTATAAAAAAAAAAAAAAAAAAAATCTATTTGAATTATATTCCGTTTCTTTTCAAAACCCTAAACCCCAAACCAACGTCGTTTCACAGTTATATATATATATATAATTTTCCAATCTTAGCTTAAAATAAGTTCTAATTTCTTCTTTTTTAGTATTTGTTATTATCATTGTTTTGTATCCATAGCTAATATCAAACAATCATAGCCTAATTTTATAATGAATATAACTATGTGTAACAAAAAAAAAAATTGTTGAATAATAATGCACGGAGTATTTAGGAAGGAGATCCAAAAGAAACTCGAATTTTCGGTGCGAGTGACTGAGAATTGAGATAGTTAAATTTCACTAATTCTTCACATACGTCTTGCAACAAGGGTCCAACGTTCAACGCTCCCTATCTCCTTCTATATTGAGCTAGATTTTGGGAGTTGAACGAAGGTGGGTTCCAGATCATTCACATTTTTAACAAGGTTTAGTGGTTGGGTGATTACCCAGATGACCTGCTTGGGTTTGCGGCCACAGACAACATACCTTCCGAGCATGCATGGTGTGGGGCACCCCGGTGTGGGGCTGTGGGGTGGGGGAATGAGGCTTCCCATCCTCCTTTGTTGTTATAATTCTACACAGATTTCAAAACCTCTCCTAGAACTAAGCCCCATTGGGTCCAATGTGTTCCACCCTGCACCACAAAGTTTACACTTCATCAAGAGGGTTTTCATACTGAACTTTTCTATTAAACAAACAAACATTCGGTTCATTCACAAATTAAATTCAGTCCCAAAGGTTACTTAGTCTTGGTTAATCAAATGACTGCCTAATAAGTTTGCCTTAATCCCTATGAGTTCCGGCCGGTATGCCATATGTTAAGGATTGTTGGGAGGGAGTCCCACGTCGGCTAATTAATAGAATGATCATGGGTTATAAGTAAGGAATACATCCCCATTGGTATGAGGCCTTTTGAGGAAACAAAAAACAAAGCCACGAGAGCTTATCAATTTGGCTACCTAAGAAGATTGATGATACGCTCTTAGAAATGCTATCTGAAACTTGCGTAAGGGCAGAGTCTAAGATTTTATGGGATTATACGAGGAAAAAAAGAAAGTGTTGGACTTTTGACAATGATCAAAGCTTGGGTGACTATTTCGTTTAAGCTATTAGACACTTTTTAAAGTTAAATAACCAGTAAAATTGGAGTATTCCACAAAAATAGCACAAACCTGGCAAAAGACTGCAAATGGCTCTCTCAGAGGTCCATCACAAGAAAGTTCACTAGTGCTTCCATCAATGAAAGTTCCATCAGCAAAGATCACCTGTATTTATGTTATTCGCCATCAAAGCTTATACATTCAATTTTCCTCATAATTGTTGCAAAACGAAGGATGTTTGAATCACATTCTCATGTTAGTTCTACTCAGCAGTCAATCATCTTCAACAATTTGAAATGAAAGCATTAAGATTTGATCAATGTAAAGAAGTTGCGACTTACCTCTGATGCATATCCAGGAGTTATTCCCGGAACTGGTTTCGTGTACGACGCGACAGGAGAGCTTCTCTGTACGGCCTCACAGAACGCAAGCAAAAGCTCGCGACTTCCAAGTTGTACTGCCTGAATGGAATATATGAATTCGTAAGACGTAATACCAATACATGTATAGAGAAAGCAAAACGCAACACACCTGTACGGTGTCGTGGCGAGGAACACGTGGTAGTGGCTGGACTTTGTAGCCTTTTGATGCCATGACTTCAGCTAATAGGATCATTCCCTGATCTCATAAAAGAAAGAAATTTGGTTGGGAGGGAGACCCACATTAGCTAATTTAGGGAATCATCCTGGGTTAATAAATAAGGAATACACTCCATTGGCATGAGACCTTTAGGGAAGCCCAAATCAAAGTCATGAGAGCTTATGCTCAAAGTAGACAATATCATACCATGGTAGAGAGTCGTGATTCCTAACAAAATTTGCCTCCATACCAAAAGACAACTCAGAAGCTGAACTTGGAAGAAAAAATCAAAATACCTTAACTGCCTCACCAACCATTTGAGGTGAAAGAAACAATCCTTGAAAAAATGTCCTCATGATATCGCCAGGAGTAGAACCCGAGTCCACGCCCAAGCCGGGTGCAGATAAACGAGCTGCAGCCGCTTTCACCCATTTGTCTCGACCAGCAACGTATCCGCCACAAGGTGCAAGCGTTCCACCAGGATTTTTTATCAAACTTCCTGCAATTAAGTCCGCGCCCTGCCAACCATTACTGATAGAAATGCTATTCTTCAGCAGGAAAAAGGAACCTGAGATCACTTACCACAGTTGGAGGTTCAATGGTTTCCACAAATTCTCCATAACAGTTATCCACCATCACCAAGCAATCAGGGTTTTGCATCTGAAAATATTAGCAAATGTATTTTATTTAAAGGATTAATTGTTTTAAGTATACAAAGAAAACGTGAGGGGTATTAATATTATTTCTCCAAGCTCACTTGGATGATGGCATTGTTGTTTTTTCTGACAATACAGAGCATATGAACTAGTGGTCATAAATCATAATATGTCATGCGTCAATAATTTCATTCTAGTGTAAGTACTGACAATAGCAGAGGGCCAGAGAAATTAAAAACAAAAAGAAAACCCAGCGAGATGAAAATGTAGAGAAATGGGAGGGTAAGTGAAAATTAGAGATTAGACTAGATTTCAGAGTGCACAGAGGAAAAAAAACAGGGAAAAAAGGAGGAAGATAGGAGATGCAATATTTACGATCTCAATAATTATTAGTCAATAATAGGCAAGATAGCTGTGTTATTTTATATTCAACCCGATAACTTGGGATCTGATGTAAATTCAGTAAATATTTTGTGAGATCTCACGTCGGTCGGTTGGAGACGAGAACGAAACATTGCTTTTAAGAATGTGGAAATCTCTCCCTACTGGATGCGTTTTAAAATCTTGAGGGGAAGTCCGGAAAGGGAAACCTAAAGAGGACAATATCTGCAAGTAGTGGGCTTAGGTTTTTACAAATGGTATCAGAGCCAGAACCGGGTGGTGTGTCAACAAGGACGCTGGGCCCTCAAGGAGAGTGGATTGTGAGATCTCACATCGGTTGGAGAAGAGTACCGAAGCATTACTTATAAAGGTGTGGAAACCTCACCTTACTAGATGCATTTTAAAACCTTGAGGGAAGCCCGAAAGGGAACCCCAAAGAAGACAATATCTACTAGCAGTGGGATTGAACTGTTATAAATGGTATCGGAGTCGGACACCGGGCGGTGTGCCAACGAGGACACTGGGCCCTCAAGGGGGGTGGATTGTGAGATCCCACATCAATTGGAAAGGAGAACGAAACATTGCTTATAAGGGTGTGAAAATCTCACCCTAACAGACGCAATTTAAAAGCTTGGAGGGAGGTCCGGAAGGAAAAACCCAAAGAGGACAATATCTGTTAGCGGTGGACTTTATCTGTGAATGATGAACACTTAAACCCACAAAACCGAGAAAGTGGCTACAAAAATGACCTTCCTATCAATCTTTCACCCCAAAAGTTACGACAATCAATCAAAAGAATTACCTTGATCAGTCTTATTGCTTTTCCTATCTCGTCAACACTTAAACTTCGCCGCCAAGAATAACCACATGACCTTTGTATGAGCGCACATTTTGTATGGGGTTTCAAAGAACTTGCAAGTTTTTCCCAGTCAAGTCCACCGTCCTCAGCAAGCTGAAGAAGAAAACGAAAAAATCAATATGAGAAAGCTCAAAAATCTTGCAACATCATGCTTTATTTGTACGGGTACTAGTTGCTCACTGGAACTTCTCGATACTCTACTCCAAAATCCTTCAAGGAACCCAACCCCTGAGAATCTCTTTTTCCAATGACCTCCTCTAGTGTGTCATATGGAGCACCAGCTACCGCCAAAAGCTGATGGTTAAATTAGTTAAAAACATTTATAAAACCAGGTGAGAATAGTGTTTATAAGCTTAATTCGCAAAAACAATACACGGAAACCAAATGGTAATCACACGGGACGTTAAGGTGTACTCACCTCATCTCCTGGCCTCAAAAGCGCAAACAAGGCACACGTAATAGCATGAGTACCTGAGAAAAACTGATGATAGAAACATCATAAATACCTACCTAGGGAATTACTTCTATACTTATATAATATAAAGTCAATAATTGTTTGGAACCTGTGATCGGACTATTGCAGATTCTGCTCCAACTATCTCAGCAAAAGCATTGTCAAGTGCCTCACGTCCTCCAGCTTCATCATGACCATAGCCAGTGGATCCTCCAAAATGCTGATGGTAAAATTTCAAGAAACGACACTCATCAATATATTTGTTGCTTCACAATAAACAAATAAGACTAAGAGATCAATAATATGCATGTAACAGTCCAAGGCCACAACTAGTCGATATTGTCTTCTTTGGGCTTTCCCTTTCGGGCTTCTCTTAAGATTTTTAAAACGCGTCTGCTATGGGTAGAGGTTTCCACACCCTTATAAAGAATGTTTTGTTCCCCTCTCCAACCAACGTGGGATCTCGCAATCCACCCCACCTTCAGTGCCCAGCGTCCTCGTTGGCACTCATTCCCTTCTCCAATTGTTATGGGACACCCCAATCCACCTCCCTTCGGGGCACAGTGCCTTTACTGGCACACCGCCTCATGTCCACCCCCTTCATGGGCTCAATCTTCACTGGCACATTGCCCAATATTTGTCTCTGATACCATTTGTAACATCTCAAGCCCACCACTAGTAGATATTGCCTTCTTTAGGTTTTCCTTTTCAAACTTCCCCTCAAGATTTTTAAAACACGTCTTCTAGGGAAAGGTTTCTACACCCTTACAAAGAATGCTTCATTCCCCTCTCCAACCGATGTGGCATCTCACAAGGCATGTTTTCACAAGATGGATGAGATCAACTCTATCGAAAATAATGCACCAACAATACCAAATAGATAATTTATTCCTTTAACATTGCCAAACATTGCGTTGCAAGAATTTATCCACTTATGCATAGGATTGATTTACTAACATGAGATCCTAACCGAGCATTCTGAAAGGCTTTGAGAACTTTAGCAGAATTCCGTGCCACCAAATTATCCACTGCCCTAAATTCATACTGCAAGGAGTCTACCGCCTTAACAACCTGCTGATCAAGACTACATAACTTAGCACATACAATATAAATTGCACCAGACACGATCCATAATGTATAGAAAGATCTATATCCTACCAACAAGAATTGCAAGAAGGAAGAAGAGTTTTATCAGTCACATAATATACAATCTCCAAACATGAGAATAAATCTTAAGCTGATAAATTCAGTTTTATTACTTAAGCTGATAGGTTAGGTATTTGAGAGATTCAGGTTCCACTCCAATAGGCAAACGATTACTAAGAAATCAAAATGCACTCCGCCGGTTAAAATAAAAGACGGATAAATCACATTTCTAAGCATCCTAGAGTGTGCAAAGAGAGAAGTTTTCTTGTTACCTCCGGAGCAAATGGAGTGTCGGAAGTGTAATGTTTCCGATCGAACGACACCGGTAAAGAAGTGGCGGAGCGAAGGGTAGCTGCCGGAAAGGAAGGTCTGAAATTAGGCGACGGATAAGAAAATACAGAGCAGGATAAGCCCCACATCTTCCTCGAGAAACTGAAAGTGGCGCGCTGCGGCGGCTTGAAGACTAAAAAAAATAGCCCACCACTGTCATTTAAAAAAAATGGAGAACAAAATAGTTTTTTTTTTTTTTTTTTTTTTTTTTTTTTTTTTTTTTTTTTTTTTTTTTTTTTTTTT